AGCCTTCTACAGCTTTGTCATTGCTGAAGGGTTTAAAAAAAAATACTGTGCCCCCCCCTTCCTGTAAAGGAGCCAGGCTGAGCTAAAATGTTCAACTCTGTCCTAGAATGCCCTTTTCTCCCTCTCCTTCCCTTCTCTTCCTCTCCCCCCATTCCCGAAGTTTCCAAACATTCCTCTAGATAAACTCATTAACAAGGGGGAGGGGTTAGGTTATGATCGCCAGTGTTGTTTACATTCCCAAGTCTCTGTCTCTTGTGATCAAACCCTCCAGCTTGGAGGGGGCTGAGCTCTTGCGCTTGAAACCGCCTCAGCCAGATTGCATTTCCCTAAAAAAAGGGGGTGGGAGAATCTCCCTTCTCTTTCCATTTCTCTTTCCCCCCTCCCCTTTCCCATTCCTGTTTTCCTCCTCCCTCACAGTTCTGTGGAGCATTTCCCGGGACCTGCCAGAATGCAGGGTTGGGCAAAGGGGAAGCGGCAGTCTTTTGTTTGTCTGGAAACTGCATGGAGTCTCTCATGGAGCCAGCCACATCCACACACACGTAAGCAGCAACCAGTAAAGGTCCGAAGAAAGTCAAGTGGGTTCCCTTCCTTGCTTTCCCCCACAAAACCCGTGGGCGGCCGGGCCCCATGGGCCCTGCACAAGCTACGGGCCTGAAGTCAAGTGGGTTCCCTTCCTTGCTTTCCAGCAGGCTGCTGCATGCCAGGATCACCCCCAATCCAGCACATCTCATGTAGGGTTGCTGCCGCCTTTCCCCTGACAGGCAGAAATTCAACAAGTGCAGCGTTTCCCCTGCATTGAGATGCAGTCTATAAGGAGTGCTTCACCTGTTGCTGTCATGCCACAGGTAGCTGCTGAAAACCACAGGAGTCCTCCTGAGAAAGATGGCAACGCTGGATGGAAGACTACAGAGGGCAATGCTCCCTCTAAGCTGTAGAGTCTTGTGAGCAAAAGTTCTACTTTGTGAGCTACTGGCATTAGAGTTCTAAGTGAGCAATTTGACTATTGTATAAATCAGTTTGTTCTGGAGCCATCCTTCCTGAGCTAAGACAAAAATATGTGAGCTGGAGGCTAAAAAACTATGAGCTAGTTCACACCAACTCACCTTAGAGGGAACAGTGACAGAGGGTGAATTATTATTTACATAGCCCATGGCAGGTTACAGAACAATATATATATATTTTTTAAAAAAGGACAAATCTCTGTCCAGGGGAAATTACAGTCTACATGGGGAAGATGATAGAATATCAGTCTGAGAAAGGAAGCTGCACCCTAACCCTTCAGTACAGAAGGGACAGACCCTTGTGTTCATGTTTGTTTCTTGTTTAACCTACAAATTCTGCGTCAGTGGAATAGTACTTTTAAAGATAGCATACGCCCTTTTTCTTTTGCAAGGACAGAAGCAGATACTGGATCCTAGAACCACTGTCGTTGTCCCTTTGTAGTGTTAACTTCCCCATGCTTAAAAACTAGTATTACATTTGGAATCTTTATTCAGACCATTCACGAAGTTATGTACTAAATAAGGAATGGGGATCAAGGGACCAATTTCAGCTTCATCTTCCAGTGATAACAAACAGCCCATGACTGGGATCACTGGATGTAAATTAGTTGCCCTTATCTAGCACTAAGATATTTGCAAACCACTCCCTTGCTAGTTCTGCTTCCAGCTAGCTTTCACCTTCAGAAATAAAGGCTCTCAGAATAAGGGTGGGTGGGATTTCCACTCCAACCAAAATTTAGCAACTCCTCGGAATAGAACAATTCACACTTTACCAATAGAGGCTGAATACTGTCACAGTGGCTCTCTGGGGGGTGCTCTTGAAGATCAACACTTTAAATGAAAAGGTGCTAGGCCAAAGCATTTTTTACACCTAGGCTTTTAACTTTTAATTGTTTTTAAAATCTGCTTTTAGTATGAGGACTATTACCATGATCTGCTAGATTGCTGGATGTTCTATTCTTTGGGGTTTTAATGGCTAGTTTTTATTATTTTATCTTGTTTTATTATTTTGTGATCTACCTGAAGAGATGGCATATAAATGTTTAAAATAACTCTCAAATTTAGGATTGGAAATGGAAGGCAAGAAGAGGACAAATCTTCTCTTTCCTCATCTTCCTCCCCTTCCCCAAAGTATTTCTTCACAACATTCTACAATTAAGCCAAATTACTGTGGTTTCAAATCAGACAACAGTTGCCATTTTATATCTGGGTCGCCAGAAGGTAGCCTCACCTAGTGTGCAAAAAAACCTAGCACCAGCCCTGTTCCTACTCCACCTCCCCCAGACACGCGTTCTCCCTTCGCAAGCTGCATGCAGGTAGAGCTTGCGTGCAAGTAGAACTCCCGGATCTGGCACTGCTTTCTCCATCCCTTGGGACTCGCGCTTAATTTCTGACAGTAGAGGAGCTTGGGGGGACACATCTTAGAGGTTGAACTGAAGCATCTTCTCTAGATAGATCACAGTAAACATGAACAACTTGTGTTGGGATAAATGTTGTTAGACTTCAGGGCACCACTGGAGTGTTTTAGTTAGGAGACTTGGGCAGTTTTTTTAAAAATATATAAATATCAGCAAAAGTCTTGGTGGACTAGTGGCCAGTTTGTTAAGTGTGTACCAGTGGATTGGCATCCATCTAGACAGACCCCCGAGCCTGCTAGAGGCGCCAAGGTTTCCTTCAGAGGTTTTCAGGGCTGCCCCGGCATTCAAAAGGCATACTAGGATTCAGCACCTAGGTTGAAGGAATCTGCTGGGAACTTGCCCCCTCCTTGAACTGAAACGCCTTTCCTCCTTTTTCCCTGGTACTTGCCTGGCTGCTATGATCTTGTTGCAGACCATTTCTGCCCTGTCTGAGGGAGGACTGGTTTGGGCATATAATCCTAAATTTACTCTAAGAGTGAGTTCGTTCCATTTATATCAGCGCCCACTTCATACCAGAAAAGAGATCCCTGTGTTCTCTGTAATCTGGGAAGGGGACTCAGTTCTTTGATTGCACGCTGACTGTCAACGCTGACTGGAGAATCTGGCCAGTTGGAGCCTGTATTATTTAAGCTTCAGTTTAGAAATTTGCTACCCAGTCTTTCTCCTGTAAATGTTTCTGAGAATGACAGTCCTTTATCTAACTTCTCCAAAGCCCAACTGACCTTTCTTTTGTAGTACTTTTCTTGAGATAATGTTCTGAGAATTGTTTCCCTGGGTCTCCGTATTTGCTGAGGTGGTGTTAGTGCACGTTTCCCCCCCCCATAAGCTAGCAATCCAAAAGAGTCCAGTGGTACCTTTAAGGTCAAAGTTTATTCAGGTACAAGCTCTCCCTCCTCTGTGAGGGCAGATCTGCGTGTCCCCCTCCCCATAGCCAGCAATCCAAAAGAATCCAGTGGCACCTTTAAGATCAAGGTTTATTCAGGTACAAGCTCTCCCTCCGTTTTGATAACAAGCAAAGTAAACAGAACAAGAAGCAAAAGGTGGGTGTGTCTGGATGACCACATGGGGTGTGGCCTAATATGCTAATTGGTTTCTGTTGTTGGGTGTGGCCTATTATGCTAATGAGTTCCTGCTAGGCTTTTTCTACAAAAAGAGCCTTGTTGATACTTATGACCAACTGTAACCAGAGGGAATAAAGAAGGACTATAATGCATGTTTGGGAAGTGACCAGGGTTCCCTCTAAGCTGAGTTAGGGTGAGCTAGCTCACAGTTTTTTAGCCTCCGGCTCACACATTTTTGTCTTAGCTCAGGAAGGATGGCTCCAGAGCAAACTAATTTATGCAGCAGCCAAATCACTCGCTCACAACTTTAATGCCAGTAGCTCACAAAGTAGAATTTTTGCTCACAAGATTCCTCAGCTTAGAGGAAACATTGGAAGTGACAGGTAAGTTTTATATCCAAAACCCAATAGCTCATTCAGTATAAAGCTACAGACAACAATTTAAGTGAAAAATCTCCCATTAAAGCCTCAGTGAAACTAGTAGCAGTTGCTTGAGGGGCTAACTATACATTCTATGCAAATGCATGAATTGAAGCAAGGTTTTCTTGAAATGAATAGCTGCTCTGGGAGAGGGTAATCTCAAGTAGAGAAACAGCTTTCTGCTACTTAACCCTTTCACCACTGACCACTGTTCTTGCCCCCAATTCCACCCCTCCCCAAATTATTTATTCTCTTTGGGCAGAACTAGACTTGCAAACACAATGCTGGAATTGCTTATGGAGAAAAGCAGCTGGGGAGGGTATTTATAATAGAAAAATGGTGAGCTGTGGAAGAATTCAATATCTTCTCCCATATCTACCTCTAGGGTTACCAGGTCCCCACTGGCCACCAGTGGGGGAAGGGGGGGGTAGAGTTACCAGATCCAAGTTAGGAAACTCTTGGACATTTGAGGATGAAGCTTGGGGAAGACCTCAGTGGGGTACAATGCCATAGAGTCCACCTTCCAAAGCTTCCATTTTCTCCAGGGAAACTGATCTCTGTATTCTGAAGATCAGCTGTAATTCCGGGAGATCCCCAGGTCCCACCTGGAGGCTAGCATCCCTGCTTACCCCCACTGTTCCAAGTGTCCTCTCCCAGGGCTTTTCTTTACCAAAAATAAATATCACAAATTAAATGACTTTGCATATTTACCATCAGGACCCAATTCATTTCAGTGGAATTCTGAGCAGGAGAGGAAATGTCCCATATATGTAGGCTTAGTGTTCCTATTTGTGTGTGTGTTTTTAAAAGCTCATTTATGTTACACCATTGGTAGTTCTCCCATTAACCAGTGACCCAAAAAGTCCCCCTCATTTGAGTTCAAGTCTTCAGTAGGGGACAGAATGACGAGTTGCTTATTTGAACTCTCTGCTTAGAGAAATCCTTAAATTAGCAGAGAAAAAACATGAGTTAAGGTACCCAGAACATGCCAAGTGAAAGACAGCTCAGTCCATAATCCTTTCAAAAGAGAAAGCTATGTTTAACTCTTGCAAATACATAAAAATCAGAGGAAAAATAAGCAATCACAAACACAACACTTACCAATTCCACAAATGCAAGGCCACCATAACTGTGAGCCACAAAAAATACGTTATCAGCTGCAGACTGAGAGATAAAGTGGTCCCATACATAAATTGCATGTTCTTCAGGAGAGCCATTTTCCTACAATGAGAAAATAACACTAATTATGATTATGCTTATTATCTGTGTTGAAAGCAGACTATAAATGCTGCAAAACAAATATAGCACCTCAGTTATACTTGGTGCTTCAAAAAACTAAACAAGAAAGTCACTAATAGACAAAGAACACAATCAAGAGACAGTTAAGAAAACAGATCAAGAATATGTAGATATACCCCAAAGTTATACATTAAGAGTAGTTCGGAATATTCTAAACTAGCCTGCTACCCATGCTTCGCTACAGTATTTAAGTTCCGTAAATCCAGTTATAATACTGATGATGTGAAGTTTGAAATGTGACATTTGTTGTAGGAATTCTAATGGAGAAGATTGTAGTGTAAAAAAATGAAGTGAGCAGAGGTCATTTCGGGGGGGAACACGGGGAACACAGTTCCCCCGGGTGAGGTGCAGGGGGCGGGGCACATGACGAAGCCCTGCCCCCTGCTTCCGGCCGCCCCGCTTCCAGCCCTCATTCAGCCAGGAGGAGGCAGGAGAAGAGGGAGGGTAAGTTGCTTCCTCCCCGCCTCTCCCCACCCCTGCCTGCCTGGGGCCAGGGAGGGCCTTGGTGGGGCTTCCTCGCACTCCCGCTGGCCTTGCAGGTCCACCGCCGGGCCCCTGATATCAGGGGGTGTGGTATATGCTAATTAGTTATGCTAATGAGTTTCCCTAGCTCTTTTTCTATGAAATGACCCCTGGAAGTGAGACATACATTTTTTTTTCCCCTCTACCAAAGAACCTCTCTGCAGACCACATTGGTAGTTCTGCCCTCAGGTACTAGGATCACCAGGCTGCTTGGTGAGCTCACTCTGGAGCAGGCCACATAGAACTGTCCATTTAAGAAGCAGTCATCTGTTAAGTCAGCTCCTGCCTGCCACCTTCCATGAAAGTGATGGCCTCTCTACTTGTGTTCCTGGATTGTTTTGCTCGTATGGAGACTGTGTTGTTCTGAGCCCCTCAGGGTGATCTTGCTGGTACTTGGCCTGTGTAGCTCAGTGTCCCGCAGGAGTACTATGTGCAAATGTCTTTGCCGCATTCCTAAGTTGCCTCCTCCTGGCAACTGCCTGTCCAGTGTAGGAGGGGGAGGGGGAAGGAGTATTAGAAGCCACTGTGGAGGCAGGGTGGGCAGGATCACTAAGGCGTTACTGCTGGGGTGGGCTCCGTTGGGGCTTTAAGCACCCTGCAACCACTGCTGCACGTGACAGACAACTGCCTGTTAGGTGTAGGAGGTGAGGGGAGTCTGTTGGAAGCCATCAGAGAGGCTGGGCCAGCAGCATTACTGCACCTCACAGGTGGTTGTTGGCCATTCCTGATTTCCTCAACTGTCATTAGCTGTCTGGAGACTCCTGTAACTGTTGGCTTTTGTTTTTACCTCAGAACACTGAGCTCTGCAGCTGACCAATCAGAGAGTGGGGGGTACAAGGAGGCAGCAGCCTGGCAGCCACATAAGAATCAATGGGGGGAGCACATTTTACACCTTTTGACCCCCTTAGGGGTCGAATTTCTAAAAATCCCTTCTTAGCAAGCACTTATGCCACAGTAGGAGCGCTCTCCCCGAATTTGGTGTTTCTAGGTCCAGCGGTTTGGCCTGGGCATTGATTTTACGGTGAGGGGACTTTCATATATATATATATATATATATA